TCATCGTCATTGTCATCTTCATCTCCATAAATAGAATTTCCATCTGTTCTCCCATTCTCCATTCTGGATATTTCCAAATAATCTTCAAGGTTGTGTACACCCTGAAAACCGTATTCCAGGCTGCAGATATCCCTGTAGAGAACGCATCACACATTCAAATATACGACGGACATCCAAAAAGCCCGAGCACGCGACAGCAGCTGTGTGCTTACTGTTAGTGGTTGGAAAGTGTCTAAAGACACTTTCTCACTACTAGCATTCCAGCCACCATCGTCACATTGTTACCCTTTTCTTTATCTTCTTTGGACCGGGCCTTCTTCAGCAACGAAGTTATGGATTACACCGGTAGCAGCCGTGATGCTCAGCATCTCTGCGTGCTTGTTCATGGGTGAGTGTTGTACATGTTTCATCTCTCTGCAATTCATTGTATACTGATAGAACAGACTTTGGGGAAATCCAGTTCATTTGGAGTCAGTGGCAAAATCCTTACGAGCGAAACATTCCGAGGATACCCTTCATATCTTGGTCGCAAAACGCAACAGTGGTAGCTTTACATATGACGGGATTGAGTTGGGCGGCGAGCGAGTGACTGCAGAGATAGAGGAAGAAGTCGAGAAACTTGCGAGAGAGGGTCAAGTAATTACTAGGTTCTCCATCGTTGGTTATTCCTTGGGTGGCCTTGTGGCCCGTTACTCTGTTGGCTTACTTGACAGCAAGGGGTTCTTCGATAAGATCAAGCCAGTGGTATGTTGGTTTACTGAACGTAGGAGTTAATATGAACTATCTGACTCCGATATATAGAATATCACCACCTTTGCTAGTCCACATCTTGGAGTCCGCACACCTCTGAAAGGATCTCTCAATCACATCTGGAACGTCCTAGGCGCAAGGACTTTGTCAACTTCCGGGCGACAGTTATTCACGATAGACAAGTTTAGAGATACAGGAAGGCCGCTACTTGAGATTCTGGCAGATCCGGAATCCATCTTTTTAAAGGGATTAGCCAAATTCGAGAGAAGAACGTTATATGCAAACATTGTCAATGATCGAAGCGCCGTTTACTATACCACTGGAATTGCAAGCACCGATCCATTTTCAAATCCGGATAATGTCAAAATAAATTATGTAGAAGGTTACGAAGATGTTGTTCTAGACAGGCACAACCCAGTTTCCCCTTTGGACAAAACTGGTATACATGCCAATACGAGCTTCATGGCCAGCACAAAGAAGATCTTGGGAAATCTTCCGTTAGTTGCAGCATTAGTTATATTCATCCCATTCGGTGTCGTCGCCTTCCTTTTGAACTCTGCCGTTCAGACTGTCCGCAGTAGCAAACGCATTCGTCTACACGAACAAGGTTTAGCGGGTATCCAACCAAACGACTATCGATTCCCTCTGCTCATCAACAGTATGCGCGAGACCGTCGAAGATGTTTATGAGAACCTCAATGCTACTCAAGACAACGAATACCTCAACACGCCTCTTGATTCGGACTCCGAAGAGGCATCCGCTTCATCTCCTCTGATTAGAGAACGGACTAAATCTTTCCACAGCGAAATTGCCGACCCAGAGAAATCCGGTGTAATTTCTCCTACTCTAGCGTTAGCACCATATCAATTCAAGATGATAGAAGCATTAGATAAGGTAGGTTGGCGAAAGTACCCGGTTTTCATTCACAAGGTCAGACATAGTCATGCAGCTATTATTGTTAGGGTTGACAAACCGAGCTTCGATGAGGGAAGAATTGTACTAAAGCATTGGTTGGATGAGGAGTTTATCTTGTGATTGGGTTCGAACAGGAGGTTCGGTTGAAGACAGAACAAGTTGTGGGAAATTTACTTTTATCATGTTTTCTCTAAAAGATACCTAGCTGTCTTGGCTCAAGCGTCGGCGTTTCACATTATAGCATTAGAGATCATATCATGAAGAAGGGGTATCGGAGGGGCTATTTGAACTTAGATTTTGTTGTAGAATTAGATAGACCTTTTGAATTCACACCAATTGCTTTCAAATCACTTGAATGGCTTCCTATCCTCCTGCCTTTTATCTTGAGGAGTCAGAAAAACAGCATCATAGATAATATTATCCTAACCATATATATAAGCTCGACATAATGACCTGATTCTATATTAACGAAAACTTTATACTCGAGGCTTATACTCGCTCAAAACCTTCAGTGAACTCACCAGGTCATTTTAACGCGGAATTTCACGTGGTTCCCCGCAAAACAGCTTTACGCGAAACGCGTTCATCGCGTCTCCAGGGCGTTTTCAACCCAGAAATCAATTTGAATCGAACCTCAATTCCCAAATACTGCAAGGAAACCACAACATGGCTCTCATTGTAGATAAGCACCGTCCTCGGTCTCTTGATCAACTTACTTATCATGACGACCTTTCTAATCGTTTGAGATCCCTTGTAGGTTTACCAATCTTTTCAATTACCTCGTCTATATACTTGACGCAGCATATACTCACAATGTCGATTATATCTAGGCACAATCCGGCGACTTCCCCCATCTCCTTCTCTATGGACCTTCCGGCGCGGGTAAAAAAACTCGCATAGTATGCACTCTTAAGGAACTCTACGGGCCCGCCGTCGAGAAAATCAAAATCGATTCCCGTGTCTTTGCATTGGCAACTTCGTCGCGAAAACTCGAATTCAATATTGTTTCTTCACTCTATCATTTGGAAATCACGCCTTCGGATGTGGGAAATTATGATCGTGTAGTGATTTCGGAATTGCTTAAAGAAGTGGCGCAGACGCAGCAGGTGGATCAGAGTGCGAAGCAGAGGTTTAAGGTGGTGGTTATTAATGAGGCGGATGGGTTGAGTCGTGATGCTCAGGCAGCGCTGAGAAGAACGATGGAGAAATATAGTGGGAATGTTAGGTTGATTCTGGTGGCTAATAGTACTTCGGGGATTATTGGACCGATTAGGAGTAGAACTTTGTTGGTCAGGGTGGGAGCACCAACGGAGGGGGACATTGTGAAGGTGCTTGAGACGAGTGGAAAGAGGGAAGGATGGGGAGTCAGTAAAGGATTCTTGGAAAGGGTTGCCAAGGAGAGTGGAAGAAACCTGAGGAGAGCGCTTTTGATGTATGAGGCAGCACATGCGCAAAAGTATGTTTTATCCACCCTTTTCACGCATATTAATCTTTCTACTCTATATACTTTTGGGAGACATGTTATACTGACTAGCACCAGCGAGACAATAACAGAGAATACCCCCATCCCACCACCTGACTGGGAAGCACTTCTCTCAACCATCGCACACAGCATGACCGTCGAACACACTCCAGCCCAGATTCTCAAAATCCGTGCCCAACTTTACGATCTCCTCACCCACTGTATTCCCGCTACAACCATTCTCAAAACCCTCACATGGAAACTCATGCCATTGGTGGATGATGCCTTGAAGAGTGATATTGTCAAATGGGCTGCATTTTATGAACACAGGTGTAAGACGGGTACGAAGGTCATCTTTCATCTCGAAGCTTTTGTAGCCAAATTTATGAGGGTGAGCGAGGAATGGTTGATGGCTATGGAAGTTGAGTAGAGCAGATGAGAAAATAAGTGGCAGCGAGGGGACTGGGATGCATGTGCATGGGAATCATGCAGACAGGCTGGCGTTTTGGGTACGATGCTAATGTGAAAATGGAGGATACAATCGATGTCCATATGTCTGTTAGAATAGGGATATCTATATTATAATGATTAAGCAAACAGAATTGGTAACATCTATCTATACAACTCAAAGTATGCAAAGTGTGAAATAGAGCATCTGTTTATATCTATAATTTTTAACCCTTCTCTCCAAACTTTCTCTAGGAGAATTAGTTTACCTATGGATATATAGTACAAGTGGGAAATCTTTACAATACTAGATATCTTCACTATAACAATATTTACAAATAGAGAGAACAAATCCTTTTCCCGCTCCTTTTGCCTCGCCAGATATATCTATACAGTACATACAATACCTACCTAGGTATACATAACATATCACATCCTTGAAAATCCCTCTAATATAATCTTACATCGCAAACCCATTATTTTAGGCTATTAGATTTTTTTTTAAAAAAAAGAGATATACATTTCGAATTACCACTACACACTCACTCTCTCCTTCTCCCCCAAATAAATGTATACTTCTATATATATATATATCACATACCTATCTATCTATAAATTCACAAACTCATTTTCTCCATCCACATCCACCCCCCGAAGCAAAATTCAAAACTCAAATACCCCATCCCATTCCCCTTCCTCTAGACTCCAACACGGGGACCCCGAGAACCCAAGACGATCTGGCTCATTACCTACCTACCTAGGTAGAGGTAGATAGAAAAATCCATCCATCCATCCATCCATCCATCCTACTCAGCCTCAGCCTCTCAGCCCCTCAGCCACTAGCGAACATGAATGAATGAGAGGTATCTAAGTATAGGTATGGGTAGCTAAGTATGATGAAACCCTGGGGAATCCAACCGAGTCCCCATCTTCGATCATCAATCAATGAACCCCTCCCTACCTAACAAGAGCCATCCCGGCCGTGATCGGGGTTTCCATACTCCCAGCACCAACCAAGCTATTCTGACCTACATTTCAAAATTCCAACTCCCAACCAATCAACCTTACCAAAGCATGGAATTCAAAGCCTTACCAGAAAACAAGAAGGCGATTTTGGGGAGTTTCGATCACCCAATTTTCACTCCAGGGTAATCCCAAGTGGCTTATCCCTTCCCTTCCCAGTACATAGTGGCGGGGGGGAAAAAGCATGCATGGTATCGCATCTTGAAGATCTCGAAATATATGATTACCATATTGACACCTCAGACATCCACTCAAGGCTCTTCTTCCATCAATTTCATCTACAATGATTTTAGGTTAACTTAAAAAAGACGTCACTCTCGCTCTTTCGATTCGTTTAAAAAAAAAGGGGAAACGAATCTGGCAAGAAAAGTAAAAGTATATCATCACACGCAAAAATGAATCAATCTTTCATATGTAGTGATTTTTATCTCGCGCTATAGTAATACAAGCTTATATATAACAAATTTATGAGTACGAGAGTGACTATCGCTGCCGAATTTGAATCGAAATCCGCCCCCAGTAACAGAGAAAAAAGGAAAAGTTCGTCCGTTCGTCCTCACCAGGTGATAAATCTCATAAGAACGCCAAAATAAGTGCCAGGACTACATCCATTAACTCCCCCAAATGCTCCCCTCCAAACCATGCAAGCAAATGTCCGTCCTAGAAAAAGTAGAGAAAGGAAGATTATTTCCATGCGTACCAAAGAACATCTGTTCTCTTTTCATCTCGTCCAACATATCAACTCAACCCATCCCTTTCATGCGTTTACATAGTAGCCTGTGGTGCATTCATCCGTGGATGCTGCAGCGTTGCTAAATTTTGAAGTTCAACCAGTTGGCGCATAACTTCTGCAGTTTGTGCTTGTTGAGCTTGTGATTGTCGTTTGAGTTCATCATTTTCGGCCTTCATTTTCTTGATCTCCTCGCGTAGACTTTCAAGTTCACTAATATCTCCTTTGCTGTTTCCGCGTTTTCTTTTCATGCCTGTCATGATTGCTTGACTAGCATCTTCTTCCGTTTCATCCATGTTCATTTGAGAAATTTGTGTCATTCCCGTATCTGCTGTATGCACGCGTCTAAGATGTTCGTTAAGATTTTCTTGACGGGAGAATCCTTTTCCAGTGTGACGTTTACAGTTGGGATGAGGACAGTTTAGTTGCTTTTTAGGCCCACCGTGTTTTCCGTGCACTTCTCTTTCGTGTCGAAGAAGTCCCCCAGAGTATGTAAATCCAGGAAGCTTTTCGCAGCCTGGTTCCTTGCATCTATAAGGGCGATCGTGTTTGTCCATATGTTTGCTATAAAGTCATTAACGATAAAAACTAGCAAAAGCTAGAAGACTGTGCTTACCTCCACTCGCATTTCCTATTGAAATCTTTGACTTCTTCAGTACAACCGGGCCATGTACAGTAAAATCTCCCATTTGCATCTTTGGTAATCTCTCTGTCAGGTTTTGGCACTGGCTTTGATCGTCCGGGTGATGGCGCCTCTTCTTCATCTTTTGGTAATTCTGGTAGTTCCAACGATGGGTGGTCTGGAGTTTCCGTCATAGGCTGTGTGGTATAAGGATTCTCGGACATTGGAGGCGGCGGACTTGGGTAACTATGCTCATCGTGCGGCTTGAACTCGTCTTGTTCTTGCGTTTCGTGCGCCATTTGCATCGGGTACTGTGTATCAGTCATAAATGATCTAGACTCGTAGCTTAAACTCATATTGTTGTTGGGGCGGGGGTTATCCTGATATTCGAAGAAGTTTGAATCTGGGTTATGGTCGTAGTCTTCAGGAAAATAGGTATTGTCGCGACTAGGAGGGGGGTGTATATTTAGTGGATATTCGTACGGGAGATGGTTGCCACGCTCGTACAGTTCGGCTTGGTGGTTTTCAGGTTGATTATTGGATTCTTGATAATGTAATGCCTGGTATCCTGGAGAGGCTGCAAATTGATGTTTGCCTTGTGCGCTAAAATAATGTGGCGAAGTACCAGCCACGCTTAGTAATCCATTTTTTTCATCACCACATCCATTCTTTTCCTTTGGATGGCTGTCAGATTCGCGGCCTTCAGCTCTTGAACTGGGTGGACCAACGGTTGTTATATCTGTCTGAAGCTTTGAAACTCCAGGCACAACAGGTAATGCAGGCACGAGTCCATTGGTGTCATGATCTGCATTTAAGTTCTGACTCGTAATATTGTCGCTATCGGCTATTCCTTCTTTGTTGTGAGAGCCTTGAGGAGGAACAGGCGATTTTGATTGTCTATTCTGTCTCTCCGGCGTGTTCGACATGGCTAAGAGTACTACATACAAAAACAGATTCATCAGTCACATGCTTTGAATCCCTAATTTTTGATGACTGGATAATCGCATGCCAGGCATACCAGGGGTTGTAGCGTGCTGGAGGCCGGATGTATGTACGAAACAGACAATATCTAAATCGTGACTCACCTTGCTGTGTTCTCGGCGCAGCTGCCTGTGTGTATGCGTATCCTCGAGTAGGATACCAAATCTGATCTGACTTTGGTATTGGCTGAAATATTCCTTGATTTTCTGTGTTGTGCTTGTGAATCCTTGTATTGTTTAAATGCGGATCAATCGATAGAGGCCAGTTGGAGTCACTCGGGCGTTGTAAATGGTTTCTCTGAGTATGGTTGCTATGATTGTCCTGATATTGACCGAAGATAAATGGATCATATGATTCTTGTTCTTGTTTGATGACTGATCCAGCTTGTTGATCTGTAAGAAAAAAAAAATAAGTTAGAGATTTGAATTTTGGTCTAATGGTAAATAGTACCGTAGTAAAAGAAAGTACTGAAATTCGACTCTTCAATCCCCTGGCTTAGGTATCGAATTTCCTGGTGATGAATTTCCAGTACGGCTGGAATTATGTCGATATTGAAGTTTTCATGGCCGCAAAACTCAATTGTTGTTGACTATTCTGGTGTGCCTTGTTGACTACCTGGTAGAAAGAACACTGCCTAGGTAGGTAGCTACCACTATTGAATTAAATCCTTTTTGATAACTTTTTCTTGGTTATTCCAAATAAATAAATGAATGAATGGATAAATAGCCAGTGGTTGCCTCGGAATAGGTGATTGGACTTCCAAGGTTTTCTTTGATAATCTCTATTTGGTGTCTTGTGAATATCTCGATGAAAGTGAATCCTCGGCCTAATGAACAACAACAATACATACCCATCCATTTGTGTACCGTTGAATCGCGAAAATCGCACCAACAAAAACAACACTTTAGATGCGTTTTGAAAGGAGCCGTATATCATGAATCGTCATGGACGAGCACTATAGAAGAAGGTATTGTATTGGTTCGTGTTGCCTCGAAATGTTCTATGTTATCATCTTCGCGAACTTGATGGCTTCCTCGGGGAGGGGAAAGTTGCACCCGGTAACAACGAATTATCCTTGGCCTTTTTTCTGGAACAAAGTAAGGAATCCATACTGCTTACCGAGTGGTAAATAATTCTTCGCTGTTGGAGACAAATGAAACGCTGAGGGTCTGGAAGCCTTGCGCAAAGATGTCTGCGGATGGCCATGGCTATGCGAAGTGTGAGGTTGTGCTTGTTGCCAATACTGCATTCGCATATAAAACATCCAACACACTCCCCACAGTACCAAGATTGAAAGTTTGACTCCGGACCATGGCCATGTCGAATTAAGAGGGCGTTGACCTCCTGGCCACTCAAGAAACCATCCAATACCGAATAGATGTTCACGGCGACCAAAGTCTGTTCCGGGACGAAAATAAGGCCGGCGTGAAATATCAAAGGTACTTCTACTGGGCTCTTTTGCAAAATGTCTGACAATCAGGGCGATAAAAAGTAAGTAACAATTGTAGAGGGCCAACAAAAGAATAGAGCATCCTGCGCGTAGAATGATCGAGCTGCTTGATCTGTAGCTTGTGCCTTGAGAAAGCTCTTGGCTTGTTTTCTGTCGACTTCTTTATGATTAGTCTTTATACATCACTGTGACTAGCTTAGGGACGATTCAATTGACAAGCGGAACAATCTTTCCCCAATGCAAGATGCTGAGAAGATCTAAATAATCATGTGATTGGAGCCTTTGTAACGGGATACCTCTAACAAAATTGTCCAATGCTCGAACGTCTAATGAGCTTCGAACAGACGCACCACTGGAAGTGCGTCCTTGATGAATATTTTAAAATTCCTGGCGTTCTGGCTAATATAGGAGATTGAAGGACGTCTCAAGTGTTTATAAACAAGAAAAGTCCAAGGGAAATAAGGAAAGCAAAAGGGGGATTTGAAGGAATATAAGAGACTTACTTGACTCCAGAACTACCCTCTTCACTCATTACCAGTTTCTTTCAGATTAGTTAGACTATACGTTTCGGAAAGACTGATGTAGTTTGGGTATTGATGCAAACAAGCCGCATGTACTCCTTGCAATGTTGCGCTTGAGCTTGTGTAGACATATTAAGAAATAAGGTCGACATCATGCTCATATTCGCGAAAGCTTCCAATCTTGCCTCCTAACCCAAACCGCAGGATAAAACAGATAAATATATAAAAAGATCATCCGGATACGTCATTTTCCCCAATCCACAAAAGAAGAGTGAGACGAGATGAATCTACTAATAAGGGCTAATCATTGACTTACTTGCGAAGAAGAGGGGGGGATACCGCTTTCGTCATCTCCCTCCATACGACATCCGCCAAGAAAATCAGACATCCTCTGTACACCGATATATCATAATTTCCATTAGGGGCCAAAGGCCTCAATTATCGAGCATCCAGGGGCTGCAATAGTATTGAGATGAATTTTATGTGTTTAGCGATGCTTATCTTGATCGGTGAACGGTATTGCTGGATGCAGCGGATATTCTGACATTGGCGTCACATTATGCAGCCCTGTAGTAGGGCTTGCTGCGGGGGCCAGAGGTGGCTTTTTTTTTTTGCTTAGATGCGCAGCCTCGTTCGAATATCCAGAGAAGATTCGAATTATCGGTGGCTTGCTTGCAGCTTCACCGTGTTGAGATATATCCATATCCGCCGGCGGTACGAGTGTGCATCCATGAACTTTTGCGTTGGAAAAAATCACACTTGAATTGAAGCTTGAGGGATTGAGAGGTAGAATTTGTTTGCTCATTGATTGTCAAGTTAAGGTTCTTTTCACTTATTATTTATTATTCATTATCTACAACTCAGGCATTTATTCGCGCCAGGCTCACGTTATTTACACCTGAGGCGGAAAGAAGATTCTATTTAGAAATCTGGATTCTCTCCAAGTACAGGACCGGATTGCTATAAAGGATAGATATCTATCTCATCTATCTGCTCTCATCCTCTTTTCGTGTACCACGATATCTCCCCACATACTTCCTCGTGGCACCTACCTATATCGATCAATCCAAATCTTTCCAAGGTTCTTATGCGTCGTAAATGGTACAGAAGGGGTCAAGACACGAGATGGAAACCCTGATTTCCGTGATTGAGGAATTTCTAATCGATCTATCGGATTCTTGGGCCCAGAGCGATAACTACCATGCTGCGGATAATACTCCAGCTGAATTCTCCTTGGACTATGGTACAGACACACCTCCCCAGCCTTCTTCATAGCCATCCGAAGTATTGGATGCTGCCGTTATTTAATTCGCCAATTGTCCAATTGTGGACTCCCGGCTTGATCTTATATCTTATCCGTAGAGATATATCCTTGGTTGATATCTTCATCTTCGTTGCCAATGGCATAAACAAATTTCCTTCTGCATAACGTTTGTTCACCTGTAGGATGATATATATTCTTTGTAAGGTCTTTTCTTAGCAAGTGCATTTTAGCTTCAATCGGTCCGTTGCTTTTTCTTTCGTCAAATGAGCTGCTCGTTCATGAATGTCTTTCATCCCGAAATACCGAGGAAGCTTCGTAACGATGCAAAAATGGAAGGCACATGCGCTCTCACCAATAGCATGAGCCGTGTGTGATTGACAGCCTCGAATTGCCATATATCTTCGCCGCAACACACCGGGGTGTCACCCCAGGTAGTGACGCGACAGGATGGGACATTTTGCATGTTATGCATAACCTCTAAAGCTCGCCCACAAATCATCATATCCTCGTATCTTCATTTCTAGAGTACTCACTCTCAGACAGCCGTATACCGGTCTTTGATACCAAACATCTTGGCCGCGCTCTATATGAACAAGAAAGCGGCGCTGGAGCTTGATTGAACATACCTAGATCCAGATCTTTCGATCTCGTTCGAATTACATCAACCTCCTTCACACGGAGCATGTCTCCACGATTTCAATATCTCCCATTAACATGCCAAGAGTTATGTGCCAAGATTATCATGTATCCGTTCTATCCAGAACAGTGCAATGACTTACCTGCAAAGGTTGATTCTAATACCACAACGATGCCCAAGTTTGCAAAACTCGAGTCGCATGTGAAATTTCCATTTGTTGTACCCATTTAAGTCAAGTACCCCGTTCCCGGATCTTAACATCCCCAAACTATAACACAATCCTCTTGATCCTCCGAAATGACATACATATGCGACTTCGTTGACTTTTTGGAAAAGCTTCACGTGTTGATATAACGGTTAAATTCTTGCAACCGCCGCGGAAGCAGTCACTTTTTCCAAACCGACTCATTGCAGATACAAAGACAGAACAAGTTCACTGAGGAAATTGTTTCAGCTTGTCAGGCTTCTCCAAGACAGAAAAGGGCATGTAGAACAAGAGGAAAATTAAACTTGATCATCATCAAGATTTATAGCTTCAATGTCATAGAAGTGGCGATGGCACCGATTTCTTAACATAATTTTTTTTTTTTTGCGGGATTCGTTTCTAAGATTGTCTTTTGATGATGAAAACGTGGATTTACTTTTAAACAATCGATTAAGTTCACTAACGTCCACTTAGGAAAATCCACTCAAGAATTGCATATCCTTGATCGTTGTTCTATATGCACGCACGATAAAAACCGTGCTGTAACGCGCATAGCCCTTACGAGTGTTGATTTTCTACTTCCATATTGGTTGATTCCCTTCTCTATGCCATTCCAATATGACTACATTTTATGGGCCCAGACTTTTGCTTTTACTCGACCGGTGGAACCTGTCTCGCCTGCTTCAATCGATATGGTGATTGATGGGTTAAACCATCCTCGTATTCGCATTTCTGTTCCAACATCGAAATCTCTCGATTGAGTAAATCTTACTGCATGGCACAAAATACTAAAATCCGTTGACTTGAGATCCGTCTAACTCCCGAAAAAAAGTGCCGAATATTTGTGCCCTAGAGGTACGAGTAAGCATCCCTCATTTTTCATCCGAGACAGAGCGAAGCAGGCCTGACCTTTCCGCGATCAACTCGCAACAATTTGTTACAACTGAGAAAAAGAAAAAATATTTTATTTCACACCGTGATTCCTGTGGATACCAACCATTAACCTTAGTTGAGAAGAAAAGCTTGCTTTACTTTTAAAATCATTTCCTTTGTGTATGCGGCGCTAGAGCTGCGCTTAAGTCTCCGACTGCATGGCACGGTGAAAGGGGTCATTTCCCGAATATACGAAGTAACTATTCTCTCATGCCATGCTACAAGTTAATATCGAAATACTTTTACCGGAAGTTTTTATGAACATTCAGAATTTTCTGAAATAATACAACAACGACTGTGACCTGCTGTAGTTGGGGAGAAAGTGGCGTTGCGTTGTATTGTGTGCCCAACAAGTGTTGATAGTACTCAGGTCCCATAAAATTCGTGTATGGAGATTACACCAAATTCCTGCGTTCATCTCAAGTCTTCAACCGTTATTCTATCAGCCGATCGTTCCGCTGCCTGTCTAGTGTCTGTTTTGTCAAAGGCGTGCACGGGTAACGGTAACCTAACGATGAAGAGATCCCTATTGAAAGAGCTCCACATCTCCACTCTTGACAGGGCATAGCCATCACAATCCTCAAAATGTTACCCTTATGCATACCAAAAAATTGCGGCTCCAGAAGACAGGTTGTTGGGTTAGGTGGGAAAAAGTTGTGTTGATTTGAAAGGAGTAATAAAAGAGGCGATCTTTTATACCCCCACCTATTACTAATATGTTGGCAAGCACCCCCTTTAAGCACCACCTTCCTTCTGCTCCCACCACATTCGTGGCTTCGAACTTTCTGCTGTTGATTCTCAAGCCGGGTTCCTTACCGCCTTGCATACCCGCTGTCAGGAATACTGGGGTCTGCTAACGCCGCTCATCAATCGGCTCTTATATCATATCTACTTCGTATATCGGCGGGTGATATGTGCGGTATCTCCATGGACGCGCCCTTCAAACAACAATTTCCAAGCAAATAAGCAAGTTCGGGCCCGCGAATTGTCCTCTTTTTTCCGTGTTTACAAACACTAGATTACTTTTCCAGAACTTTTTCATCATCACTGTGGAGATCGAGCAAGCAATCTATGGTTGAAATTTGCGTAGTGCTTTAAAGGGTTTGAAGCATTGTATATGTAATCTTATAAATTTATCGTACATATTCCCTAAGTTTGATTTATCATAGTTCTCTACATATAACTTCTATTCACACAGTTGCTTGAATATAAGACCGAATGACCCTTTAAATCCTTCGAGAACTAAGTTGGCAGGGCTTTCTTCACGTTGTATCCACACTCCGATCTTCTGTGACAAGAATCTCAAGACATACGATTAATCCATATTTCTATGCACCTCCCTTGTAGACCTCACCCAAGACCCGCAAACCCGCTTTCCTCAAGACTCCTAAAAATAAATAAATAGATCTGCTTGCCCCCGGGCGCGAGAGGTCCCCTTTTGAAACGGAGGAGCATCGCAGCATGAGGATAGAGTCTAGTACAGGGTTTGAAGATATATCTAGATCAAATTTAGGAACGGATATTGATCGGGATCATTTGAATAAGAGTATCGGCACGAATCCGGATACCGAGGCAGACATATTTATCCCGAATCCAAGAATGGATACCGGTAGAACGTCAAAGGAGCATGGGAATTTGAATGAGGGGAAGTGGAATGACAGCGATAGTATCGATACGGAACCCTTTCCTGGACAGGGCATCGATGGAGAAGTGCTAGGGAGCAGTCAAACGACGACGTTGGCAAAAGATGATGTGGATGTGGAAGCACAAGGCGAGAGAGAAAAGGAAGATGCATTGAGGTTGGAAAGAGAGAAGGAAGAACATGATCCGAATCTGATAACTTGGGATGGACCGGATGACCCTGATAACCCGATGAACTGGAGTACGAAAAAGAAATGGTTCATCACTGTCATCTTGGGCTCGATGACTTTTGTCGTTACCTTCGCATCGAGTGTTTTTAGTACGGCTACGATTGTAGTTGCAGAATTATATGGGGTGTCAGAAGAAGTCGCTGTTTTAGGGACGTCGTTGTTTGTGCTGGGGTTTGGTGTTGGCCCTTTGGTATGTTCTTTACTTTCTTTGACATCTCTGTCATCAATATAGAATGGTTGGTTTGAGATGACAGAACTAACACAACTCAGATATGGGGACCCGGATCCGAACTCTTTGGCAGAAAAGTTCCCCTCTTCTTCGGCTACGCCTGTTTCGCCATTTTCCAAATCCCCGTCGCTGTAGCTCAAAACCTCCAAACTATCATGGTTTGTCGATTCTTTGGTGGCGTCTTTGCTTCCGCTCCATTAGCGATTATCGGAGGAGCGTTGGCAGATTTCTTCGGCCCGGTCGATCGCG